AATATATTATAACCTATATACATATTATTTTTCAAGAAAAGTATAATAATATATAAAATTGATTTTCAGAAAAAACTTCTTTTATAATAAAAATGGATAATAAGGAAAATGTTAAAATTTTATTAATGTTATATCAACAACATTCTTGTTTATATGTTACAAGAAGTGTTGATTATCATAATCGTATGAAACAAGATCAAGCTTTACAGATAATCTGTAATCAGTACAAAGAATTAACAGGACAACCACTAACAACTGAAATTGCAAAAAAAAAATTAATAATTTAAGATCACAATATCTGGACCATCTAAATAAAATAAAACATTCGAAATTAAGCGGTGCATCACTTGATGATATCTATAAACTAACTTGGTGGTTGTTTGAAGATATGAGTTTTCTATAACATAGATCAGAAAATCATCGTAAAGAATCGTAACTCGATTACAACGCTAACTATATTCAGCCAAGTATAAATATTATTGTTCGAGGACTCGGACCGAGATCTCGGATTGAGTTCTAGCATCGTGGACACAAGGCTTTATTCACACTGAACGCGTCGCCGTAAGGAAACAAAAGATAATAGTAAAGAATAATGGCTTAGTTTACACCGATTGTGTACAATTGTATAGTACGCGTACCAAGTACTAAATTTGATTCTTTGATTGGTATAGATTTTACATTAAACAATTTATATCTATCGGAGAAGCAGATTTAGTACTTGGTACGCGTACTAAACAATCAATGTAAACTAAACCAATAATTATTTAATAATAGTATTAACATTAAATACAAAAGAGATGTTACTGTAACCACATTTTCCCGATTACACACTTGAAAAATTAAAATTATAATATTTCAGATATATATAGATACAGATATATATATATATTACATACCTCATTATTTGATCCAGCTGCGTTATTTTGTTCCATACTTTTACACTTCGTTACACCACATCACATATCAACATACGGTTGAATGTACCACCTTTGGGATCTGCCGTCTCAAATCTAAAAATCGTCTATTCGATTTTGGGCGTTCAAAATCTGCAGTGCGTTCAGCCCCACCTCGTCATAATACCAGCAGAGTGGGGGGAAAATCTGAATTCAACACGCTTCATGAAATCGTACCTTTACTTCCGTACGAAGCCAGATGCGGCGAAAGATCCAGAACATCCTCGAACATACAGGACCTGCTTCTTTTTCCGGAGCCGCATGTTAAACGGCACTCTATTCGGAGCCTTTGACTATAGAAACATAGTCAAAGTTCGGAGCCGGCAATAGGAACATTCGAATTAGAGTGGTCGTTGAATTAGATCTAGTCTCGCGAGCAATTAACCAGTATTGAAGGATAAGGATGGAAGTTACTAGGAAATCATTTCAATTTTTCCCGGTGGAAGAGTTCTGTTATTATAGATTTTAGGAACTCTAGGAGCGATGAGTCTTTTCCATAAAACTTATATACATGGAAGCAGAATAACTTATATCTCCCGTAATCCAAAAGTGTACCCAACATCTGTGCGACAAGGAAAGGTAGAACATGACTTTTGTTTGCTATGCGCATGTGCACTGTACCGCGTAGATTTGAAACGCTTATTTTACGTACATATATGTAATAATCAAATTCTGAGAAAAGTTTCATAAATATTAATCGTTTATAATAAATAGTAATATTATATATATAAATATTACATATAAAATATTACTATTTAAGTTTAAAAATAATTTGTAATTATTTATGAATATAAAATATAAATGAAAGAAACATTCTATAAAAGGAAAAAAAAATGGATTTCTTATCATTTATTTATCAACAGCACAGTAATTATAAACTATATTATAAACTATATTTATTATAATTAGTAATTATAAAATATTACAATATGTAGAAATCTATAATAAACTATGTGGAACAATAAACAATAAAATTTGTTACATGTGTTTAAAATGTATTAATTTAGTATACGTATGCCAAAGATATTCTTTTTTATCCGCATGGGTAGCGCGTTTTCCTTCATAATATAATCGGATTTGTACATATATATTAGAAATTTTTTTTATTAATTGATATTTATGATTATCAAATTGATTTTTGCGAGAAGCATTTTGCTTATGATTAGTCATATGCGTGAACACTTGATCGTAAATAATACGACATACAATATTAGTAATAAATTGTTTAATATTTTCTTTTATAAAAATGAGATGACTGTATTCTCGAATGGCATGTTCCGCAGAACGTGATATTTCTATGACATCTTTGGAAAGAAGAATCAAATTACCTCTATTTTTAATAGCAGTCAACTTCGAAATTGCTTCGGCATTGCTAGATATTAAAAATGTGACACATACATTACACATGTTTTTATTTCGTAGCAATTTCTTTACCACGAATCCGCTGATGTGTGCCACTACGTCTTCAATAAAAGAATTTAATGACCACCAAGTAGACAAGTGGTCATGGTCAAATAAATCGACAAAAGTTTCATCTTTTTCACGAGAATAATGTCTGTTTCTGCCATTAATTTTTGCGGATGTAACGAACAATATCGGAATATCATTAGGTACACAGTTATCACGTTCAGAAGCAGCAATTTCGTGTCTAACTATTAATCTTTTGTAGCTATTGATAAACAAAAGTAGTTATTAAATTACGTGATCTCACAAAGCTGACAAAGATAGATATAAACCAGTGATGCGATGTTTCCTACCGGGCTCCCGGCTTCCGAGCCCCACACAAGCGAGAAGCGTGTACATGTGCTGCGCGGAACACTTTGCGCAGCACATATATGCGCTTCTCGCTTGTGTGGGGTTCAATAGCCAGGAGCCCGGTAGGAAATATCGCATCCCTGATATAAACAGATATTAACACAACTTTACTATGGCCACGCATGCGTTCTTACAGAAAGAGTAATAGAATAAGACAGCACTATATATAATTGTCTCACTTCTTGGGTACAATTGTTTGCTCTTTCTTATCTCTTCATCGCTCTCTTATTCTCCTTCCATGTATATAAGTTTTATGGTCCATCCCTACCTATTATCGACTTGTGTCACTAAATGGAAAGCATTCAGATTAGAGAGAGTAGGTAGGAACATGTTCGAGCATTGCAACGTGAATAAATCTCCCTCTTTTTTTTATTATATCTTCCATTATATATATTTATAAAGAAATAAACGATAATCAGATGATAATTTTTTTTATTGTTTTGTAATATAAATTTATTATGTAACATGGCATTAACCAATAAAAACGCATTTTCAAATATGTGATATATTTTAAACTTTTAATCTATAATTAATTATTACTTACTACATATGTGTACTAGCCTTCTTTTGTATTATATTATATTCTAGATTTATGCCATTCAAACTTAACAAAATTTAAAAAAATTTTTTTTATGACTGATATATAGATCTAGTATGCTCATTATTACTGACGAGTAATTATATATAGATTCTTTACATAATTACCTATAAATTTATTTAAAAGTTACAAAACTTTATTCAAAGCTGTATAATTTTTTATAACATTTTATGAATAGTAATTTTATATTTTTAAAAACACATTTTGTTTCTGTATTTAATTATACATTTCTCATTAAAAGTATTTTTTATAATTTTGCTATATGTTATTCTCCTTATGTAATCTTTAAACATACATATTTTTTCAAAAGAAAAAGAATGTATTTAAATGGAAATAATTTAAACATCTGTGTCAATACTTTGTATGTTTATATGACTGTCACATATATTTTCAATAACAAGTTTGAACACACTCTAAGAGTACATTGCTTTTATACATAGGATTAAAATAATTATTCTCATTTTAATCTTTAAGTATTAAAACTTCCTCTGTACATTTTTTCAAAATATTTAATGCAAAGATAATATCGCTCTTGTCTAGATCAGCAGATATACAAAGTCTAAAACTAGGTCTTGGTAAAACTTTTTCAGTTTCCAAATAAGCAGGAAGTATGAGCGCCAAGCCATTTTCTATGCATTTATGCGAAATTGCAGATAGCAATTTTTTCTCGGTAATATATTCTCTTTTTTCTTTTAAATGTATATGCTTCAAAGGTGATTCTGCAGAACTTGAGCACTCTAATATTGGTATTTCTTTAAGACCGTAATGTACAGCCAAAGCGTTATCTTTTAACGATTTAAATAGTTGTGAGTTATTTTCCATGATATCTAAAGAAGTAATGGCAGCAGATGCCAAAAGAGGTGGCTGCGATGCTGAAAAACAATAGCCGAGTCCAGATAAACGTTGATGAACAATCACAAACGATGGTCCAACACAAAAGCCTCCAATACTTCCTATAGCCATTTCTAAAGAGCCTAAAATATATATATATATATGTATATAAGAGGATATATGTTAATGTATAATAAATTATATATATATATATATATATTAGAATTTACAAAATGCATTTTACTTACCCATTATCAAATCTATTTCACTTCTAGGAATATTAAAATATTCAGTAACACCTTTTCCATGTAAACCAATTGTACCGAATGAAATTGACTCGTCAATGAAAATTCTCAATTTGTACTCTTTACATAGTTTTAATAACTGTGGTAAAGGACAAATTTCTCCTGTATTCATATAAATTCCTTCTATTATTAAAAAGCGTTTAATCTTTTTAGCTTTTTTAGGATGTTGTTCGTCCAGTTCCATTTGTTTCATTAAGAGCTTGTGTAAATCTTCGACATCATTATGTTTAAAATATCGGATATTCCCTCGAGATGCGTCTAATCCTTTTTGTATAGCAAAATTTACTTGTTCATCCACAAATATTAAATCGTTACGTTTACAATAAGCTGGAATTGCAGACGCTATTGTAGAAAATCCATAGGAATATATGATAGCTTCTTCCATATCCATAAATTTAGCTAATCGTTCTTCCAATTCAAGATGCACATCAACTGTTCCATAAAAGCCACGAGGTCCACATGATCCAACACCATACTTTTTCACAGCTCTTACTGCGCTTTCTATTATCTCTGTATTGCCACTTAAACCCAAGTAATTATGTGTACCTAAATTAAGACAACGCTTGCCATCAACTGTTACTTGTTTTCCAACTTTCGAAGTAACGTACTTTGGACGTAGCGAAGAATGTTCTTCTGGTGATTCTGGTACTAAAGGCTCCGGTCGCCATTCCGCTAACTTACTCTCAACTAGCTCTCGCGAGGGCACTGAGTTGTAGTTATTACTTTGTCTTTTAGAAATATACCAAACCAGTGAGCATACTAAAAGTGCTTCTAATAAGATGTGATAATGCGGTAAAGAACTCCGCAAAATCTCTATTGAATCAATAAATAGAAATTTTGTGCTCATTCTTGTCACGACTGAGAAACTTTTGTATATGATAAAATACAACTTAATACTTTTTCTCGACTCGACTATATATATATACCCGAAATGGGCACTGCCTTGCTACGCATTGACGGATAGCGCGCTTGAGGCAGAGCTGCCAGATTGCAGATCCGAGCACGAGCCACCGAACGTACACATATAAGGTCGGAGCACAGACTTTTACATAAAGCATAACGCATAAGCA